TTATTTATATAATTAAATCGATTTTTTGTTTGTTTTATCTGAATGTTCCAGGGTATTCTCTGAATATCTTGAAGGCCCTGACAGTTCGCCACTGTGAAAATCGGACTAACGTCTATAAACGTATTTGCAGACCACTTTTGTGAGTGCAGCGCGCTGTTATTAAAAACCTCTTAAGCCCCACGGACCCGGTTCCGGGGCCGAAATCGCGTCATTTGCAGGAAACAACGTCTAAGGAACCTTAATATTTAATAAACTATGAATATTTTATATCCATATAACGGGGAAAAACTCATTTAACTGATCTTTTTCATTTTTTTTTCTCCAAAAAAACACACAATGCTAACAGTGAGCCTCTGAATTAGCCCCGAGCGAAAAATGCTAACCTATTACTGCACCGAAAATCACTCCTAGCTCCCTTATTACTTATCCTAGCTGCACATCCAACACATCGTTTATGATCGTAAAGACACAGAATCTAACGGTGCCCACCTCAACACTGAAAGATACAAACTTGCGACGTTATCAACAAAAACGTACATCAAAACAAGTGGCGCTAGGTAGCCCACAACGCTAACATGGCTTACCTTCGTCTTTGTCTGGTCTAAACTGGTCTTCAATGGCATTAAAACGATAACAACGATGATGTAGTTAATCCATAGGTTATCCAATGTGGCTGTGTCCCCTTTGAAATGTTCTGATAATCTATAAGCAATAAAACTGCAATTCCGTTTAAAAAAAGTAGAGCAGGCCATTCCTACGCTCTGTAGCTTCATTGAAAGCGTGAAGACGCCATCTTCTTTTTTTAACATGAGTGTGTGCGGGACGATTTCCCTTCGATTCTATTGGCTCTAACGATCAGAAAGAGATGTCACATGTCAAAATCGAAGAAGGGGGGCCAGAGATATGGAAAATCCACCCAAATGGCCCCAGAAGATGTTTTTTTAGCTAAATCTGTATAAAAAGGTCAAATATCACTTGTTTTGCATCAATCTTGATACAGGGTACTTATTATATGTTGTACTTTGGATTCCTAAAGCTTTTATTCTACTAACCCATCATCCAAGGTTAGTTTTCACTATAAGTACAACATATTTTTTGGACGGACATTATAATTTAAAGTTTTTTACCATGTTCAATCTGAATTTTCTTTAAAATAAAAAACATCTATATTGATTTCGACTTTTCTACCTCCAACTCACAGGTTTATCATTACTTTGAGAAAAAAGATTATTAATTTAACCCTTTTAGAAGGGAAGATATGGTCATTTGTTCTGGGAATGTCATTTTCGAGCCTGAAGCCTGAAAAACCGGCTTGGGGCTTATTAAAGAGCAACACAAATCCATTTATAATATATATTTTTTGTGCTTTGATATTTTACGTCCTTATAGAAGGGAAGAAACATTTGGAATTTTAGTTAGCCTTTTTGGTAATGAACTATTGAAGTGATTATTGTGATAGTTGCATTACTGTAATATATACAAACAACTTTCCCTATTCCCAATGCTTTTGTCTTTTTCTTGGTTAAAAACACATCATTTAAAGTTCATGAAGTCTTAATTTTCCCTTAAACATTCGTATGATTCCATATCCTTATGTGATTTGGTCAGGGTCATGACTGTTGCCCCTACCAGTTCAGCTATAAGGGTCCAGGTGCTCTGGAGTTTGTGAAGAAGCTGGACATCCCCAAGCAGTCCTCCAAAGGCAGCCTGACAGCCATGCAGCACTTCCAGAACCTGGACAAGAGGGCCACTGACGACGACACCAACGAAGTGGGGACCCTTCACCAGAACAGCATCACGTAAGGGCCAACGCTTTCCATTAAACTACAGACAAAACCCAAACTGAGAAGGTTTAGACTGAAGTGGAACTATTCTGTAGCTCTGGACCCAGCAGACTGCGGGCCTTTTGTCAGACAAAGCCTGCTAGTTTTGCTCAATTGCTAGGACTAGGGGTTATGATTATGTTACATGATTCTATATATGCTACATAAATATACATAAAAGCTCTGTCCCGAGGCATTTATTAGTTTCGAACTCTGGGGACGTTTTTTTTGTAAAATAGTTATACCTCTTCCTGTAGAGACAATTATTTGTTTTTAAATATTCCATGTGTTTTTTTTAACTGGTTTTGTTGAAATATATTTGTTGATATTAATATTTAAACACATTAATGCAGGAGTTGCAACCTAATTTAGAATACATACAGCTGTACTTCAAACTGTTACTGATGTTAAGGTGTCTCCAGAAATCAATGTTTTTGAGGTTTTTTTGCAACAACATTAAACACTATTAGTTCAGCTTTTGTAATACGTGTGCATGTGTTGTGTTGTGTTGTGTTCTGCAGACAGCTGTGTGTTGTGTCTGGGGAGAAAGCCAAAGTGGAGAAATACAGCAGTGTGGGTCTGGATGGAGCCTTGGTGATCTGGGATTTTAAGGTACAAAAGTAAATCTGTGATTTAGTAACTAACTGATCTAGTTCACTGTAAAGTGTATTACTTAATTACTGCTTCCATTCTTTGCTCCAATAACAGTTGAGCAAGCTTTGAACATTTGAACATTATCATGTTAGTCACATTGGATTGGTCTCACAATCTTCACAAACAGATTTCATTATATAAAGTCACATCTGAAGTTAGTTGATGTTAAAAAATACTAGAAAAGGTCAGTTGGTTGCTGACATATTTCTCAGATCCCATTCATTATCCTTAAAAGTCACTGTTTATGTTTTTGAGGATAATGAAGTCAGATAAAGCATTGTTATTGTTTCTTATCCTCAAAACATAAACAGTTTGGAGGACATGTTGGTGCACTGTATTATAATTTCTAAAAATATTTTTGACAGAAATAGTCTTATTTACGTACATAAAATCAGTTGAACCTACAGGGCAAATTGATGTTTGAGAAATGTGTTTTATGAATAATGTTTCAACATTGTGCCACATAATCTGCCTTTAAAGCACCACATCAGTACAACTGTGTGGGATCTATTCTGACATGTGTGTCCTCTCCCTGCAGCACTAAGACCCCCCAGAGCCGTCCTGCAGGAGACCCACACTCAACTGACCATCACACCCTTTTATCAAATACATTCGGTTGAATATAACTACAGTAGAGATGCCTTTGAGAAACTGGAAAACACTATAAGCACATTTGCTTTGTGATCTTTGAGTAAATAAAGAGTGTACAGGTCAGAAAATGAATTGTAGTTACTGGTCCTTTACATTTTTCTGTTGTGTACTCACTGTATTGTTGTGTCATTTTTGCTGTCCGACTGCATATACATGTATTTCTTTAGGTTATGACCCTATTTCTGCTTGACTATTGCCGTACTTCTACTATTTGACCTTCTCCTTAAGGGTCACTCTGCTTAACGGATGCATCGGTATCATCACTGTTAGTTTCTGAAAATACTACTCATCCTATAGAACGGTGTCCCAAAGAATACCTCTCATTTCATTTAATTTCAAACCTTTATTTATCCAGGTGTATCCCATTGAGATCATTGATCTCTTTTTCGAGGGAGACCAGGGGGGTATACTACGAAGCTGGTTCAACCTAACCTGGATATGTTTGAGTTAGCCGGTTGGCCTAATCCAAAACATACGCGCTCTCGCTAAACGGTACAACGCTGGCTATCAACTCGTTCGCTCAAGCCAGCCGTGTCCTATCTAGTTAGGTGGGCGTTCACATAAAAGGGGTGGTATTTGGAGCATTCGACCAATCACAAACATGGAGAAGCGTACTGAAAGCTCCAAATACTAGCATGCTTAAAAGAGAACCAGCTTCGTAGGACCGGAAACCCCGAGTTTTCCCTGAAGTTATCCGGCTAACCGAAAATCCTGCTCATAGTATACCCCCCAGGACTTATAAATACATGTAAATAAATCATTTCAAATATAGCCTGCCTGGAGCACAAACAAATCAAGTAGCCTATTCATTCTGCACACAAACCATCAGCCTATTCCAAAATAATATGTTATTTTATTGGACTATTTGGTTATTAATGTGATCATAATGTAATGTCGTTTGTAGCTTCTTGTACAAACACACAATATATTCAGGGGGGAGCTTGTGAACGTTGAGGGTCCACTGCTGCCAACCTGCTGCTAACTGTTCGTGTTACCTGTGTGTGTGTGTGTGGGGGGGGGGGGGGGGGTATACCTACGTCACATGACTGGACGGACACAAACAAAGCCCACAAGGCGCAAGCATCCAATAGAAACACGTTGGAGCACGCTTGGCCAATCAAAATGAAACGCAGGAACAACATAATTTCACTACCAGCCAATAGTAGGAGGCGAGGGCGTGACGTGGCGCTATCAGCTGTTCTTGTTTTTGCTTCTGTTTTCCCGTTCTTTTCATCAAGGGTCTGGATAACCGACCTCCACAAATACCCAGTGAAATCCGCTAGTATTTGTTGCGTAGTGGAGAAAAACAGCCCCCCTGCTCCGGCCGCCCACCGACCTTCCTACAGGTCGGCATTTCTCTCACATTGGAGCCGTCTTCCGCCGACATCGAGCGAAAAGGTGCAGTCGATCCCAGGCCTCCAATCCAGGGCGGACGGGGGGAAGGAGGTCGCTGGTTATCGGGATGGAGAGCGGAGTGGCGGGCCCCGGCGAAGAGGCAGTGGGGCCCGGCAGAGAGGCAGCGGGGCCCGGCGGAGCGGACGGACCGGGGCTGCAGTTCGGCTGCGCCTCCTTTAACCAGGACTCCACGTAAGCAGCAGAACATGACATGAGTCAAGCAAACACTCAACATGCTTTAGATCTGTCTCAGACTAAAGGAATGCAGAAGGCTTTGATCAGATTGTCCTGGGATCACCTACAATCCATAAAGGAGCAAACCGATTTCGTAGCTTATATCAAAACCAGTTTAGCTAATGATCAGATTGAGTATCATCCAAAACATTGCTTTGTCCTCTGGCTCTGGAGAAGATTTCCTACATTTGAGGAAATAACCCTGATGATGTCATAGTGATGGTTAGGGTTATTTTGGCTTGGACACCACTAAAAACAGACATCTAAAAGAGATGGGGTGAATGCATGCACACACTTCTGAAATTGAACATTTTGATCTCTTACTATAAAATGGACACTTACCAAAGTCAGTGTTCTTATAAACTTGGCAAATCCGTTAACCTAGAAGAAGCAGCTGTTTGACCTGACACAACACAATCAAATGATACATTCAACTCAGAGGCAACATCAATCCTATTTGCATGTTTTAATAACAAATAATGATAGGCCTACATAGGCCTACTTTCGTATATAATAAAACAAAACTTGAATTAAACCTTAGGCCTATATATAGGATATATATAAGGTTTCATTCAAGTTTTCTGTTTGCACCTTCAAAGCTAGTGGTCAGAAGTTGTACATTTAAACTGAGGATGTTCTGACCTCTGAGTTGTCCGCAGCGCAGCCGCCCCTTACGAAAAAACACTATAGTATTACTATTAAGAAATACTATAGAAATACCACAAAAAACTGCTATTGTATTTCTATGGTGTTTTGGGACACACTATAGAGAATTACTTTAGTAATACTATAGAGTTGGCTATGGTGATCTTATAGTGAAGTTACAGTTATACTATGGTGTTTCCTGTAGTATTTCTATGGTTTTTCGGCCACTATAGGAAATTACTATAGCTATACTATTGAGTTTTATGTAGTATCACTATAATGCTTTCTATATTATTTCTATGTTTTTTTGGAAAACACTACAGAAAATTACTATAGTAATACTATAGAGTTGGCTATGGTGATCTTATAGTGAATCTATAGTTAATTAGCTTTAATAACGATGTATTCATCCCTATAGTAAGTATGGTATCAACAAATAAAAGTTAGCAGGCAGAGCAGTTTCAATTTGAAAGATAGGGACTTTATTAACAAAATAAAATACATTGTTCACAGAATATGAATAAGAATAAGTTAAATGTAAAAAAATTACAAGAACAATTTCAGGCCTGAAACAGAAATGGTTGGGCAATGAAATTAAGGGAAAAAGTGTCCCAACCCCTATATACAGTATAAACACATTTCATATTCATATACTTACAACCCATGCCTCTCTACCAAGTCAGAGAAGCAAACTCTGACAAGTTTGAGGCTGGTCTTCTCGGTAAGAATGCCATTTTGCATTTCATCAAATACTTCTGGAATTTTCTTCTTAAGTAGATCAGTTAGGCCATTCAGAAGAACTGGTTCTTGGCTGAACAAAACAATAAGAGCAAGCACAGCACAAAGTAAAGTTCTGGCCTGTGTGATTTTTTGCAACACAATTTAACAAGCATGGTACATGTATACCTGAGTTTGACAGACTTCTCTTAGGACAGTGAAGATCCGGTGCTTCAGAAAAGTGCACTTGGAATCTGTCAAAGTTACTGATTCTCACATCTATAAACTCTTTGAAGTCTGTGTTGTATTTTAAAATCCTATCAAGGACACATCCAAATTCACCTGTTACTTCCAGGAGATGGTTTGTGCTTTGGACACTGTAGATTTTTCTTTTAATTTACTTTTTGCTCTGACTTTAACAGATTCCTGCAGCTCATTCCCGCTTCCTGTAATTATAAGAAAAAGACAAATTCATCCTGATGTTGACTAATCATATTATGCCAGATTAAATTAAATGCCATCATCTATCATCTTCTAGTTAAACAGGGTATATGCAGGAATCCTGAAGTCAAATTTAATACCTTTTAAGACCTTTTTTAAGACCCTTTCCAAGGTCTTAAAAGGTATTAAATTTGACTTCAGGATTCCTGCATATACCCTGTTTAACTAGAAGATGATAGATGATGGCATTTANTTTCATTGCCCAACCATTTCTGTTTCAGGCCTGAAATTGTTCTTGTAATTTTTTTACATTTAACTTATTCGTATTCATATTCTGTGAACAATGTATTTTATTTTGTTAATAAAGTCCCTATCTTTCAAATTGAAACTGCTCTGCCTGCTAACTTTTATTTGTTGATACCATACTTACTATAGGGATGAATACATCGATATTAAAGCTAATTAACTATAGATTCACTATAAGATCACCATAGCCAACTCTATAGTATTACTATAGTAATTTTCTGTAGTGTGTTCCAAAAAACCATAGAAATAATATAGAAAGCACGATAGTGATACTACATAAAACTCAATAGTATAGCTATAGTAATTTCCTATAGTGGCCGAAAAACCATAGAAATACTACAGGAAACACTATAGTATAACTGTAACTTCACTATAAGATCACCATAGCCAACTCTATAGTATTACTAAAGTAATTCTCTATAGTGTGTCCCAAAACACCATAGAAATACTATAGCAGTTTTTTGTGGTATTTCTATAGTAATTCTTAATAGTAATACTATAGTGTTTTTTCGTAAGGGNTTTTCGGCCACTATAGGAAATTACTATAGCTATACTATTGAGTTTTATGTAGTATCACTATAGTGCTTTCTATATTATTTCTATGGTTTTTTGGAAAACACTACAGAAAATTACTATAGTAATACTATAGAGTTGGCTATGGTGATCTTATAGTGAATCTATAGTTAATTAGCTTTAATAATGATGTATTCATCCCTATAGTAAGTATGGTATCAACAAATAAAAGTTAGCAGGCAGAGCAGTTTCAATTTGAAAGATAGGGACTTTATTAACAAAATAAAATACATTGTTCACAGAATATGAATACGAATAAGTTAAATGTAAAAAAATTACAAGAACAATTTCAGGCCTGAAACAGAAATGGTTGGGCAATGAAATTAAGGGAAAAAGTGTCCCAACCCCTATATACAGTATAAACACATTTCACATTCATATACTTACAACCCATGCCTCTCTACCAAGTCAGAGAAGCAAACTCTGACAAGTTTGAGGCTGGTCTTCTCGGTAAGAATGCCATTTTGCAGTTCATCAAATACTTCTGGAATTTTCTTCTTAAGTAGATCAGTTAGGCCATTCAGAAGAACTGGTTCTTGGCTGAACAAAACAATAAGAGCAAGCACAGCACAAAGTAAAGTTCTGGCCTGTGTGATTTTTTGAAACACAATTTAACAAGCATGGTACATGTATACCTGAGTTTACAGACTTCTCTTAGGACAGGCTGAAGATCCGGTGCTTCAGAAAAGTGCACTTGGAATCTGTCAAAGTTACTGATTCTCACTTCTATCAACATCTATAAACTCTTTGAAGTCTGTGTT